ACTTCCTCGGATGCCGACCGGCAGCCGCCCTCCTGCGGCACTGGCCTTCATTGCTCGCCGCGATCATGTCCCTCGTGGACATAGCCTAGCCCGCTGTGTGATGCTCGAAGCTGCCAGCATGAATTGCAGATGCAGGACGGCGTAGTGCATGCAGCGATAACGACAGCATGACCAGATATCGTCTCCGTTCCCCTCACAGATCCTGCGTGAGTAACCTTCCTTATCGCGTATCATCTGCGTGCACGCCTTACGCTTCCTCCATCGCCCCAACTTGCTTCTGCTGCTGCTTGCCCCCACTACTGATCAAATCCAAGAAGCCCTGCTTACTCATTTCGTTGACCCTCTCTTCTCTCTTCTTCATGCCCACAACGCCCTCACCTTGCAGCTTCCTCCTCTCTTCCTCAGCGCTAATTTGCGCTTTTCTCACAGCATTGAACATAAACACCACACCTCTTTGCGCGATCTTCTTCAGCCTCTTCTCCTCTTCTAATACTGCGCCTGTATCCACTTCTGCTGTTTCCAGACCCAACACATCTTTGACCCTGCCCTTCTCCAACGCTGCTCTTTTCTCAGATTTGATCTGGGCGCGAGCTTTGGCTTCGAGTTTAGAGTCCGCGAGTGCTTTGTTCGCTTCAAGTGCAGATTTGGAGCGTGACAGAACGGGGTCTTGCCGTTTAGCAGTGGACAATTTCGTGGAGAGAATTTTGGTGATGCTGGTCGCGAACGCGTCGGGATCGTTGCGCTTTTTCTGCTTTCTCGGATTTGTGGAGGATGCCTGCGACGTTGCCACTGAGCCTTCAGATTCGGAGTCTCCGGCTTCTGAGTCTTCGCCGGAAGAAGCGGCGTCGTCGAGATTGGGCTCATCGTCTTCGTCCTCAAGATCGTCTGCTGAGCTCTCGTCGACGTTCATATTCAAAGCTGTATTTGTCTCCAAATCGCCGACTGCTACACCCGCATCATCCTCCTCATCTTCTTCGTCTTCCTCGCTATCGCTTGCTGCTTGCGGTGCCGTTGCTTTGGAGATCTGGACGGGTGCAGCTTTCTTGAGAATAGGCTTCGGTCGTGGGACGCTCTTCTTCTCTCGTCTTGAGGTGGTGTTCTTGCCCGGCACCCTCTCGCCCAGAGGTAATGAGTTGCCTCCAGTTGGCTCTGTCTCTACCACCTTTGCGACCCGCTTCGGCATGTTTTTGGGCGCATCAGATGCTCTCTGCGTCGCTCCATCCGCTTCATCTTCAGATGAGCTGTAGTAGTCGTCCTGCTTTTTGACCCGCTTCACTTTCTTTTTCGGTCTCCTCTCTCCCGCTTCATTCTTCCACTGTCTTTTTTGAGCTGCCGGCGCCATTGTGAGGATACGGAATATTTTCTGTGCAGCTCGAAAAAGTGTCGTGAGAAAGTCGAAAGTTCAAGCTCGCCCGCGGATTTGTTCCGCTCCACTTTCTCTCCCCCGAGCAACACCATCCCTTCAGCGCTGCCATTGGACTGATTCGCCCATCGCAGCGACCATGATCTCAATATGTACGCGTTGCGCTCTGCGCATCCATCGTGCATCGCAGCAAGAGACACAGCAGATCGCCAGCCGCGCCTTTTCACAAGCAACTACACGCTCACGCGAGTTTCCGACCTTTGCATACACAACGAACGACGACCTCAACGATGCGCTAGCCAACCTCCGCAACAAGCATCTCGTGCCTGCATTTCTCAACAAGCGCGAGCAAAAGCTCATCTTCTCGCCCAAGCAGAAAGATTATCTCAAGGAGAACCCGCAGACGATTGAGCTCGGAGGGGAGGAAATTGAACTACAATGGATAAACCGATTGACAGACCGTCCGGCTCGAAAAGTCTTAACGCAACAAGCTCTGGAACAGATCTTCGAGACGAGAGATGACAAAGCGTGGACCAACGTCGCCAAATTGTTGCAGGCGAACCAAATTCTGAAGAAGCCGGTAGATGAGCGAATGCAAGCGAAGATTGTGCGCAAGGCGCTGAACCAGGGAAAGATCGCACATATTCTCGCGATCCTGCAACAGAGTCAAAAGACTGGAATGTCGCTTAAGACGCCTCAGGTTCTGGACACGCTGATCCAGGGTTTCCGCGATCTGGCACAGAGGACGAATTGGGACAAGGCACACACTGAGAAGGCGCTGAAGGAAATGAACCTGGTCGCGTTGATGCTAGAGAGCGAAGAGCATGGAGGTGGTGGACGACTAAGGAAAGACGATCCACGGAGAAGTCCCAAGGTCCTTGGTGTCATGCTGGAGTTGGCTGCTGTCCACGCATACAAGCACCTAGAAGGCAAGGATACCACTGGCGTCGTGCATAGATATGCCGATCGTCTTTTGAGCTGCATGGACGACGCCTATGTCGCTCCCTCGGAAGAGGCCCTGTACTTGTCAGAAAGAGGGCCGCAAACTTCGTTTCAGCAGTCCATTCCCGTCCTGCATGGCACGTTCCTTGCGAACAAGATGCTGGGTGAGAAAATGCCACAGGCCGAGAAGGCGCGACAGGTCATTACCAACTATGAAGCACGGCTGTCTGGGCTGGCTGCTGTGTTAGAGAGCAGAGCCTCGGAGAAGGGAACATACGACTATGTAGCACTCGAGTCGTGGCAGAAGATGATTCGGGATTAGACCAATGCCACAGCACTGCATATTAGCAACAGATGTACAGCGCAAAATGTACGATACGACTTGTATATCACCTGGCTCGACACACCATCATCTTCTCCCTCGAAGGCTTCGCTGGATGTCATATCTGCAACTGAAATGAAATTGTGGCCGAGCATCCACCGTTGCCACCTTCTCCAGCACTTACCGCAGTCTGCTTTCAGTTGGTCGGCGGCTGTGCAGTGTTGAGTCACCGGCTTCAGCAGTGTGGATGTTCTTTGTCATCGTGTTATATACTTTGCGCCTGCGAAGTCCCATTGCATACCTCTACGCGGTCGCAGGTAGAAACAGATAGCTTCGGCTATACTAGCAAAGTATAGG